TTCTGTGTGGAAAAGCTTCTTCCTAATATCAAACCTAAATCTCCCCGTCTCAGCTTAAAACCATTCCCCCTTGTCCTATCACTATCCACCCTCGTAAAAAGCCGTTCCCTTTCCTATTTATACACTCCCTTCAAATATAGGAAGGCCACAATGAGGTCTCCCCAGAGCCTTCTCTTCTCTAGCTGAACAAGCCCAGTTCCCTCAACCTTTCTTCATGGGAGAGGTGCTTCAGCCCCCTGATCATTTTAGTGGCCTTCCTCTGGACCAGTTCCAAGAGCTCCACATGGAACTTTAGAACCTTAGTCAGAATCCTTGATCTATGGTTGGAAACAGAAGCAACATTTGGCAGGGAAAGGTGCCAAGGTATACTGAAAGAGAGGAGTAACTGAAAATTGAGGTACAGAGCAAACAGAAGACACTTCCTCTCCAAAGCAGAGCTGCGTGCCCTCTGTGAGACAGCTTTATCATTGCTTGAGTCCCACTGTGCAACAATCAGGTGTGCCTTCCAGGTCTTGCCTCGTTATTATTGCAGACCTTAATGCTTGCTACGAGATTCAAATGGTTGTTTTTCACATTTCACAAACATTTGAGCTTAACTGTTACTTTTTTTGGTAATGCTAATGATGTACTCTTTTTTTTTCCCTTGCTCTAGTTGTATCTGCTCTGAATAAGGCATGGTGTGTGAACTGTTTTGCTTGTTCAACCTGCAACACTAAGTTAACGCTCAAGTAAGTCAGTCGATAGGTGTGATGCCTTCACAACATGTCAGTGGTTCTCTTTAAAATAATGGATGTTGCTGTAGGTTTAACTGTTACAGTACAAAAGCCGTCTGAACAACACTGAGACAATGTGCCTGTGCCTTCTTCTTGCTCTATTTACTGATTTACATCTCTTTCAGCTGCCTGTTCCGTTCTTCCTTCAGTTCAGTCTTCTTAATTCTTCTCCTTTTTCGTCCTTCATTTTTTCTGCCTTTCACTCTGAAGAGATAAGTTTGTTGAAATTGATCTAAAACCTGTCTGCAAACACTGCTATGAGAAAATGCCAGATGAATTTAAGCGACGCCTTGCCAAACGGGAACGTGAAGCGAAGGAGAAAGAGAAGCAGAAAAAGAAAAAGCCCATCTGTTTGTAAACTGTTTTTCTTCTCACCACCACCTGTGCTCCTTTCTTCTTTGGTCAGTGCTACAGATGCTTTTACTTAACGTTTTTGCATGCGTTCATGGCTCACAGCCAAATATTTTTCACCAAACTGCAACTTGAAATACTGTTATGTTATTCTTTTAAGCTCTGTTTGCTTAGCAATACAGCTGAGTTTGAAAGATTTTTTCAGAGACACAGTTATAAATGGGGCATCACTCACTCAGAGTATTTCAGTCACGGTCTGCAATGTATATGAGCTTCTGAATGTAATTTCATACATGTGTATAAAGTGCAGTTGCATTTTTTTGTCTGCATGCATTTAATACACCCTTTATTTTCTTCAGGATCCCTTCCACTAAGACTTTGTTTTCTTGCTATGTCATTTTAGAAATAAATTTGTGGAGTTTGATATGAAGCCTGTCTGCAAAAAGTGCTATGAGAAGTTTCCTCTAGAGCTGAAGAAAAGACTGAAGAAATTAGCTGAAACTGTGGGAAGGAAGTGAAGACTTCTTCTGCTCTCCCCTTTCCTTATGAAAATGTTGTATCTGTTACTTGGGAGGGACTCTGAGGCTGTAATCAGACAACAGATTACAGTGCGTGCCTTTCATCTTGAAATTCTCCATTCTCTCTGTGAGTACGCGTACAAATACAGATTTGTTGATAAACAGATCACGCTTCTGTCAACTCACCTGAGAGGTTTCTGACCCTGATAATGCACCCATACAAGAGGGCCATTGAGCACAGTAATCTCTGAGGAATTTTAGATTGAGAAAATATGCTTGTGAGTACCTGCAAAAGCACATTGTGCAAACAGGCCCAACGTTATGGGCATGCAGTGTCATTTATACTAATGAAAATATCAGCATGCAAATGAAGCATGCATACAAAATTCCCCGTGGCCTGGGCAAGAAACCAAACAGACCTCATTTCCCGGAAAAATAATGCTTAGATTTCAGGTCCAATAGTCCCACTGAGGAGCCTTGTTGAAGGTGGTTTGAAAAGTAGCGCATTTCTAAACACAGTCACTGTACAAATGACCTGCTTCGATAGTTTGTACTTACACGCTGAATCTCTGTACATCAGCCTTAGCATGAAATGTCTGTATGAAGTCTAATTCCCACTGCAAGAAACAAGTATACTCAGATCTGCTTGAATTTTGCTGTATTCCATTCAGAATAACACAGTCACTTTTATATAAGCTCTTGCCTTTGATTTACTTTTGGTGCCTTATTCTGCCGGGCCATATGTAACAGTGTTCCATTCAATATATGTCTGTAGTTTTATTTTTATTCCTTATTTTTGTGCAGAAACTCTGTATGAGGTATTTTCAAAAGATAACAGAATTTGCCTTAATTATCCAGGATGCAAGAGGAACTTTGCTTCGGGTGTGAACACCTGAGGTTGAAGTTTAGCTTCTAGGCTTCCCTGACTTCTGGAACAGCAATGAAAATGCGTATTTGAGTTAACTGGCAATATTACTTTTACACTGTGAGTGTAAATATGTGAAGTTTGATCCTACTGGGATCTGTTTCTTCAGCCATCTTCAAGAACTGTGCTCACAAATCGTCAGAATTCACTGCAGTGTGCTTGTGCTTGCTTTATACTATTGACTTCTGTCCATGAAAGTTTGCTCTTCCCTTTTCTGTCAAAAATACCATTACTTAGGAATTCTTGATGGTACTGTTATCAAGTATGCAAACTTTTTTTTTTTTTTTTTCATATTAGAAACACAATTTTTATATCATTACTTCATAGCAAGCAAAATTTTCTTTCCTGCTTATGGAAAAACAAATGCTTTAGAACATCTTTCCAGTGTCATCAATAAAGGCTAATGTTATTAAAACCTGTATCACCTCTTTTATGTGAGTACTTGAGATGGGTGGAAAAGCATCTAGGCAGCCTTCCTTCACTATGCTTCTACCTGTGGCTATCTGTGTAAAACTCTTTTACTGTCCTGACTTAGAGGAGACATCTGCCTGTCCTAGAAACGCACTTTAGTTTTTAGGTTTAAAAAATAAATTATCATTTGTTTCATAACCAACAGCTGGATTCTTCTGGATATTTTCTGATTGGCACTGTCACCAGGTTTTCTGAAAGAAAGGAAGTTCAAAAGCACATCTTCCTCCCAGATTTTGCTCTCTACTCTTTTCACTGTAGTGTAACTTTCATCCCAGACTTGCCATTTAGTGCTAGGTAGGGTATTTTTTACTTCGTGGTTATATACAGTTATCCCATGCAATAACAGTTCAGTAGCAGAATGCAGTCATTGCTGTGTTCATGACTGAAAATTCCCCCCCCAAAAAATGTATGTAACAAGCGTAATAGTAACACTGTTGAGATTTTGGACTGTGACATGGATTCAGCCCATCAATACTCAACAATGATTCCTTTACACTGTAACTCAGTTCAAGTGTGTTTGTTTTGTTTTGCTTTTCCACATTATGCTGACCATATGCACAGCCTTACTGCTGAGGGAGCTGGGAACAATCCCTAACTTGAGGCTGCACAGTAAGCTCTGCCTCGCAAGGTTACATCCACACCTCACTCACAGTGTGTAGCCATCAGTCTCCCCTGGGCTCTGTGGCAGTCCTGGGGCCCTAGCCCAATGTTTTCTGCTGTTTCTTCAAGTTACTGATAGTGAACACGATGTGCAGTAGCAGCAAGGCAGTGGTTTCTGTGCCATTAACACAGGTGTCTGTTTCAGACCCCACAAATAGCATCAAGGCTGTCTTGGGGCTTCAAAGCCTGTTGCATCCCATAAAGATTTCAGAAGGAAGGGACTGTCAGGTAGTCCAAACATCTGCTCCAGGCAAGTGCGACTTTCAAAGCTTCATCAGTACTAAAAGTTTTACCTAGCCAAGTTCTGAGCATCTCCAAGGAAGAGGTGATTTCACAGGCCTCTGTGGGCAACAGTTCCAGTATTTAATGACCTTCATGATGAAGTTTTTTTTCTGTATTCTTGTTTTCCCAGTGGAATGTTGCTCAAATTCACACTGCTCACTCAGCAGCTGTCTTTGGAGTAAACTGTCATTGAAGTAATAACCATGGATATTGTCATCAAGAGCATTAATTAAAAGAAGTGCAAAACAGAGCCAGGGAGTGAGCTAGCAATTAGGCAGCCTGGACAATTACAGGTCTGGTGCTGAAGTTCACTTCCTGGCCTGTCAGTACTGTAAATACTTCACATAGATGTACGTGCTTTGAGGCTGATTTTATGACAAGAAAGACCCTGCAGTGTGCTCAGAGAAAGACAACGAAGCTGTGAAGAGTCTGGAGCACAAGTTTTACAGGGAGCAGCTGAGGGAACTGGGGTTGTTCAGTCTGGAAAAGAGGATGCTCAGGAGAGACCTTATCACTCTCCTGATAAGGTGATGAACCGAAAGGAGGTTGTGGCGAGGTAAGGATTGGCCTCCCAGAGATAGGATGAGAGGGAATGGCGTCAAGTTGCACCACGGGAGGTTCAGATTGGATATTATTAAAAATTCATCCTCAGCAACAGTGGTGAAGCAGTGGCACAGGCTGCCAGGGAGGAGATGCAGTCACTGTTCCTGGAGATGTTCAACAACTGTAGATGTGGCACTGCCACATCCCACCATAAGAGGAGGGAAAAGGTGACCAGATTGATGAATACCCCCAGCTAGATTAAGGCAGAACAATGCACAGATTCCATAACACATCAACTTTAATGAAAATCTATGTACTGCAATTATCCCATAATACTGGCACTCTAAGAGCACTTTAGAAAGCCCAGGGGAGGTACCTGCAGGAGGAAGGACCTGCGCCTAAAGCCTTTCTGCCTCTGGCAGCTGCAAGCCCTGTGCTCAGTTCCTATCAAGGTAGTCAGTGTTTCTTGGGTACAGCAGCAGCCTTAGGGCTTAGCAATGCTGGGCGGGGTGCATTTGTGATTCTCTCCCCATGAATGAGACTTCACTAACTTGCAGCTTGGTGGCCCCACTTTGCTTAGAACCGGCAGAAAAAGAGATCAGCGCCTCCAGTGAGCAGCAGCCAGGACTCCCTGGCAGGAACTAAAGCACGGGGCGGCGCCGGTGCTCAGAACCACAAAACTCAGAACATCGCTTTTTAAGCCCCGTCTCCTGGGTTGGCGCATCTCGCCATCTTACAAGCTGCTTCGGACAGAAACCAAGTATTTCTGCTACTCGCGGTGCCTGGAACCCACAGCTCAAAACTCGTCGTCTGTGAATCCGAACAATAAAGCCTGATCGACGGCTGGCGGGTGACGCTGACATTCGCGGTGACGCAGCACGTCCTTACAGGTGAGGAAAACACCTCAGCACGGCCTCACACGGCGCTGTTTCCTAAGACCGCTCGAGGGCGGACAGGCTGAGGGCGGCACCGGCGGCGCGCCGAGCGGAAGCCCGCGCCGAGCGGCGTAACGCTCCGCAACTCAGATTCCCGCCGCCGCGACAACCAACCGCGCACCAGCCGCTCACACTGCGCGTGCGCGCGTTCGGCGCGTGCGCCGCCCCACGCCGGGACTGTGACGTCGCGCGTCGCCGCGATCGGCAGCGGAGGGCGTTGCGGCGTGTGTGGAGCGGGAACTTGCGTAGCGTACGAGTGCCGGCCTTCCGCCGCTTGCTCTTTCTCCTGGTGAGGCTCGGCGCGGTTCCCGACGACGAGTGCCGGCCGGACGGCCGGGCTCGGCGCCATGCTACGACGCACGAAGCCCGAGGTGGAGAGATACGTCGCCTCCGTGCAGGCCGCCGCCTCCTCTCCTAGAGAGGTGAGTGCTTGGGGCCCGGCCGGCACCGCCGGCGGCGCTCCCGCGGCCTGCCCGGGGCCGCGGTGTGGTCCGCTCCTCGCCCGCCCCGTCCTTCCGCTCCTCCCGCGGGTGCCGGGCCCGAGGGGTGGTTGCGGGCTTTGCCGGGGCCCGGGATGGCCGTCGGGGGCCGGCGGGCTCGGTGCGCGGGAAAGGCTCTGGGCTGCCCGGCCGAGCGGCGCTTTGCGGCCTCATCCCTCGGGTACGGCGCGGGGGGTTCGTGGCGTTCCCGCTGCCGGGAGCGCTGGTGAGTCAGAGCTTGCTGAGGGGCTCGTGGAGTCGTGTGGGTGGGGAGTCGAAGCCGAGGGAAGCTGCTGGGAGGGAGGCCGCGGATATACTTCCTTGGCAGCGTGGTTTGCTACCGCTGCGCGCCTCTTAAAACTGGTGAGCCCTCGGTAACTTCCGAAAGAGCGCAACGGCGTGGTGAAATACGGATCCATCCTGTTCTGTGGGAATAGAATGGCGTGGGTTGGAAAGGGCCACCATGATCATCTAGTTTCAACCCCGTGCTATGTGCAGGATCGCCAGCCACCAGACCAGGCTGCCCAGAGCCACATGGAGCCTGGCCTTGAATGCCTCCAGGGATGGGGCCTCCACAGTCTCCATGGGCAACCTGTTCCAATGCGTCACCACCTTCTGTGTGGAAAAACTTCTTCCTAATATCGAACCTAAATCTCCCCTGTCTCCGCTTAAAACCATTCCCCCTTGTCCTATCACTATCTATTCCCCCTCCTGTTTATATGCTCCCTTCAAGTACTGGAAAGCCACAATGAGGTCTTGCGAGAGTTCCTGAGCTTCCAGCCTTCCCTCTCTTGAGGAACCCAAATAGGGAATAGGGAATACTGTTAAGCTTCTGAATTTCTTTGGTGTGTTGTGTGGCTGTTATTCTCATCTGTGTGACAACGTTCTGAAACGTCAGTAATAAGAGAGGGAGTGGTGGGGGAAATAGCTTTGCTGCTGTGCGTTAGTAACTGGGCAGCCAGATGATTCCCTGATAGCTGGAAAATGGTGTGCAGGTCACGGTGAGCTGACTGATGAGGTTCATAGGAGCAGTTTCATCCGGAAAGGTCCCGCTCTGCTGCTTTGAGTTGGTTTTATTGCAGACGTGGAATATTCAGCAGTTGTGTAATGTGAATGCACACTGTGATGCAGCAGGGCCTTGATGTGAGTGTAAGGCCTGCATGAGTCCTCATTTTGATCTTCAACAGCAGTGGAGTTGTCCCTTCACTTTGTTCGGTTGATTTTGATGCTGTTTAGGCTGCACAGTGTTGAATGTATCGCTGCTAAATTTGGAGATAATCTTCAACAGTGTTGGTATTCTTGTGGAGCTCAACGAAAAGATATTGCCTCTCCTTTAGTAGTGCTCACGGCCAAGTGCTGCGGGTTTGGTTTCATCTTTTCAGTGATGCTTGTAACTGGCTGTATAGCACAGTCATTGATGGGAGTAGTTACTGGTTTTTCTGGGGTGTTGATTTTGGAGAGGAGGGTTGTACGAGGCTGTAAGCATTTATTTTGAAGTTTCTTTCCAACCCTGTTTCCAAGGAGATGTCTCGCATGATTGCACTCTGTGCATGTCAGTGTATCCATGTTTTACTTCAAAATACAGTCTGAAAAGTAGGAGATCCACATGTAAAAATTTTTCAGGAGTAACCTGGGGGTAGGAAGGGGATAGGAGACTAAACTCAAGTGTCTTTAGATTGTAGAAGTTTGTTTCACATCTGGAGTCCTAGGTGTAACTAGTTCCAGTATTCCTGATTCTCAAACAGAGGCTACTGTGGCAGTGATACGTGGACCCCAGGTTTTAGGTTTGTCTCCTGGTTCATGTTTACCATGAAGTTTTTGCTCATGACTTCCTAGTTCTCGAGCTCATTCACACAGGTAAAAAAAAGATGTTTCTTCAGTGCAGTAATTTAGTGCTGATGTTATCAGTCCAAGTGAACTTGAACTCGAGGACTCTGTGTGTGAAAGGTGAAACATACCTCTGCACAGGTATTGACTGAAGGGCAGAACAAGGAAATAAAAGTGAAGATTATATATATAAAAAAAAAAAAAAAAAAAAGAGGACAGGCAAGAGATGAAGGTGACAGAAGCATGAACAGGAGGAGCTGGACTCTTAATTTGTGGCATCTGTTTTCTTCTGCAACGTAGATACATTGCAAGAAAAAAAGCTGATCTGTAGCTGGCCCCATTCTTCTTCTCTGTTTAGTCAGAAGTGTTTATGAAATGCCAGTAACCCCAGTTTTGCTTTGGTAGAAGCCTTTGCC